TCCATTTTGGGTAGATAAGGACGTGTTTCTGTCTTTGGAGGGCTTTCATACTTCAGTATTCTCAAGTGATACTGAATCTCTTGAATGTTGTGTTCTCAGGGGCTCCTGAAAATCCTATTCTCCCCCCCTCCTTTTTTTTTTTTAACAAGAGTATTGCCAAAAGATGAACAGATTTGCCAAATGAAAACAAGGATGTTTTAAATAAAAGGAGGTATGCTTAATGGTTATTGTAGTACGGGTGAAAATCCTAGCTTTAAGTAGATCTTACTGTTTCAGTCAAAGACTGAAGATCCCTCTTGTATCAGTCAACCCTAGTTATATCTCTGTTCCAGAAATCCAGAAGACATTCCCCATTTCTTCAAATACCGCACTGTCCCAGCAGTTTAAGCTTTGTCCTTTGTAATCCTTCCCAGAACAGTGCTATTCATGTTTCTTGCTGGCTTTGGGACTTAATGATTCATTGGATGTAGTGCTGTAAGTTGAAGAAACTGCAAATGAAGCTGAGGAGTGCTGCAGCTGCTGGAGTTGCGTAGCTGTTAAAAGGACTGAGGAATCTCTCAGGCCCTAGAAAGTGTTCTGAAATCTACTCTGAGGACAGAAGGTTAATAACTGGACCTCAAATGCAGGAAGAAGAAGTATCCTTCCTGTTTTAAAAGTAATGTGCAAATACTATTTGGTTTTTGGTTTTTTTGGGGGGGGCAGGATTCAGTAATTCTTAGTTTAAGTTCTTATAAAATTAATTGGTTGTATCAGAATATATTTATACAAAGGTCTAATTGAGGCTTTAATTAGTGTATTTAGCTCTAATTTTATGGTGGGTATGAAGAATCTTGGAAGCTGGTTCATTGATTCCTAAGAATATTTTTTACACCATTATTTCTATAGACCCAAATTACATAGCTGTCTTTGTGAAGTTTAATTTCTTTAGGATCCTTTGCTTTTGTCCTTCCCAGCCCCATGGTAGCTTCACAAGGGGTAGGGCTACCATATATATGAGGTGGCTGGGAGGATTTTGGGAATGGGCATTTCTGGGTTGACTGAATCATCCCTGATTTTGTGCTGTCTGGGCAAAGGGAACAACTAACTTGATCTGCTGTTTTGAGTAGTATGGCCTATGCTTCATTAAATATTTGGCAGCTTCCAATTCATCTTTTTGATTTATAAGGAATTGTATTATTCTGATACATTGGCGAGCATAAATAAAAGAACTTGTTTTCCCTCCTGTTGAGAGGGTTGTCTCTTTCTTTATAAATCTATCCCTGCTTTGGAAGACCGACTGAGGGCAACCAAGAGAAAGACATTTTTAGGCCCAGCATTCCATCTGTGGTAGAACAGGCTTCCCCAAAGAGATTTGCTTACATTACAATTTAGGTCAGTGCTAGATAAAGACAGTTTTATTTGTCCAGATACTAACTTCCTGGATTGTGTTAACATAGCTTTTACATCCTTTGCTGGTTTCCCTGTACTTTCATTTTTTTCATTTTTTCCCTTAATTCAGTTTACTCTGATTTACATTATTGTAAGTCCCACTGGACATTTAAAGTACAGTATGAAAGGTTACAAGAAATTATTTAAAATAGGAACTGCAATAATTTATGATGAAAATATAAAAGGGATGCTGGTAGACATTGCAGAATTGGTTTGTAGACTTCATATCTTCATTGACTTCCTGTGAACCACAACTGAGCTTGTTTTCAGGCTAAAAAACCTGAAAAAGAATCAGATGACATGAGATGAAATGTAAGTTTAAGCATTTACTGAAATATGTATAGCTCTATATAACAATACAATTGCTCCTATAAGACCTCTATTATAAAGTAAATCCCACTGAGCTCAAAGGGACTTACCCTCAGGTAGATATTTTTGATATGTTTAAATATTTGATATTGGAAAATGTTTAACATGTCAATGTTCAGTGATCTGTCTTTGCTATCACAGAGATACAGAAAAAGCTGTATTTCTCCCCATTATGGTTTCTATTTTTCATGTTTTAAATTAGATTTGAAAAATGACTTTTTGAATAATGGAATTTGTGATGACTTCACTGATACTATAAAACGAGGGATAGGATTGACTGCCTGATGTCAGATGGTAATATTTTTAATATTGGTATGGTGAGAAAAGGAAAACAAAACTCTCTTCCTGCTATTAAAAGATAATGATTAGGGAGGGTTAGCTGAGCATTATTTGTGTTAATGTTTTATATTTGCAGACAGTTTATATGGAAAAATAGTAATACATTGCATCTTTCACACCAGCATGTGCAAAATAAAATCTACTCTGCAGCGTATATAGCTTTCATTTCACTGCTGTAGAAATTCAGTGCATCATAGTAGAAATGTTGTGACTGCCTCTTAAATTTTCTAAACTAAGAGTTGCTTGTGTTGCTACTGGTTTCTGCAACTCCTTTGTGTATATATATGTGTTTGTGTGTGTAATGTATGTGTGGAATGTAATATTGGAGTATTCTCTGAAATATTTGTACATCCGCAAGAATCAGATGATGAACCAAACTGAAATTGATAATCTGGTGATGAATAGATTTTATTATTTGGAACACATTAGCCACAGCATTATAATTGCCGCATACCTTTGCAAGTCTGTTCTTGTTCTTGTAAAACTTTATTGCCAACTTTTATAAGAATGCTAGCTTTATTGTAAAGATTGGTTTCAGAGATTCAGATACAGAATATTAAAACAGTAACATCTCCCACTCCTGTACCCTCTTCTGGAAGCTTAATGCTCTATCCTAGGAAGGGGGCTTTCCTCCACTGCAAATAATTACTGTGAATTGAGAGGGGCTCTTAGCCTCTCAGAAGCATAGAATAAATTGTTGAAAACAAAGTAGCGGGCAAGGAGATACAACTGACTGCAGTTTTGATGCTTTTGAAGATGGGCCTTTAGTTGAAAGAGAGCGGTTGTTTGTCAATTTAGAGTTGCTGGGAGTCAGGCAGCATATATAATATATTATT